AACTCAACATAACACCCCAACAGCATGTCAACAACATACAATACATCAGCTAAACACAACACCCTAACAGCATGTCAACAACACATCAACAATATATAAACAATGCATCTTCTGAACAACAACATGTCAACAAATGGAGAACGCAGGAGGTGTTTCTTCCTTGTTTACCTGAAATATTTGCTTTTATTTTTCTGAGTTTGTTTTATTGTTGTTTATGTTTTTTATGTTGGAGTTCAGATGAAAGTTAAAAACTTTTCCCAAGTTTGATTTTTTGTTTCTGACTCAGCGAAAAGGAGCAAAATCAGACAATAAACTTTAAAATGTTTTTATCCTCAGAGTGGCTGCCTCGGTCTTTCAGATAAGATCCAGCAGCTTCAGGGTGGATCCATCATGGGTCAGATGTCAGGGAGGGTCCATCAGGGGTCAGAGGTCAGGGCAGGTCTATCAACTTCCTGACATCTGATGTCCCTTAAATGACTCAATTAGGGCTGGGCGATATCTCGATATTTAAAAAATATCGAGATAATTTCATTTGCGATATAAGAACAATCCGCCTGCTGTCTTCTCCCACGCGGTCCCTCCTTTTCCCTCATTGAATACAAATACACAGCCCCTCAGCTGCGCACGCTCCCCGCTCTTCCTTTTCCTCTAGGTGGGCTGGAGTTTAACACAAGTAAACACTGGAGATATGAAGAGCAGCTTAGCTGCTGAGCAAAAAGAAAAACAGTGGCTGTTATTTTCAAGATGGTTTGGATTTAAATTGTAAGATGAGCAGCAGAAAAATGTTTTCTGTAGACAATGCCGAAAACAAGTCGCAACAAAAGGTCAGAACTAAAAATCATTTTCACCATTTAAAATAGTGCTATAAGTTAAGTTATAAGCTGCATCTCCGACTGTGTTTTCAGCCTCCTTCCCTGAAACAAACCAAGTTATAAAACTCATTTAGCCGTGCCGTGCCTTATGAGAGGAACAATGAGAGCGCGACATTAATAAATCAGCAGCTTATCATATCACTAAAGACACAGTCCCAGTCTTAACTGTGGAACAAGACGGCTAAAGTTAGCCGTCTTGTTAGCCACTAAGGACCATGTCTTTAGTGAAATGATAAGCTGCTGATTTATTAATGTTGCACTCTCACTGTTCCTCTCATAAGGCACAGCACGGCTAAATGAGTGTTGTGGTTTGTTTCAGGGAAGGAGGCTGAACTCTGTCAGAGCTGCAGCTTCAGTTCACACACACTTAACATCGTGAAGGCGGCAAAGCTGAAGGGGATTATTATTTAATAGATGTAAATAAAAGTCTAAAAAACAAACTAATATATGTAAATTGTTTATTTTTTAGACATTTATTTTGTTGAGTTACAGCTGTTTGTTACTATATGTGCTTGTGTGACAATTGGGACAAAGCTTTGACTCGAGAAATATATTTTTGTAATTACTTTGTGGAAAGGGAAAAAAATATTGAGATATATATTGTATATCGCCATTCATCTTAAAATATCGAGGTATTAATTTTGGTCCATATCGCCCAGCCCTAGATTAAATTAACAAATTAAGTTTAAACTTTGTGATGTTCTCTCCGTGCATGCGTGGGTTTTCTCCTGGTACTCCAGTTTCCTCCCACAGTCCAAAAACATGCATGCTAGGCTGATTGGTAACTCTAAATTGTCCCTAGATGTGAGTGAAAGAGTGAATGGTTGTATCGTTCCTCTCTATGTGTCCCTGTGATGGACTCTGTTCAGGGTGTCCCCCGCCTCTTGCACAGTGACCGCTGGATATGGGCACCAGTGAGTGACCCCGTGACCCGGAAAGGAAGAAGCGGGTAATGGATATATGGATTCCACAGCTTTAACAAAGATTCTTAAAGAGACTAAAGCCTTAACTTTAAAATTTAAATAGATATTCCAGCCATTTTACAGCAGGGTTTTGTAGAATGGATTAAAAGAATATCTTACCTGTTGCAGGTAACTTCAGTTTGGAGAAATAGTTTGATTCTGACAGGACTGATGAGCTATAGGCTGGTCTGAACAGGACTAAGCTGCTGTAAGTAAAATAACTACAGATGTTCATGCAAACATTATTATTTAATCTTTTATATCTCCATCAGTTTATTTTCTTGCAGGAAATGCCCCCAGGCTTCACAGGAAGTGCTACAGCTAGTTCATAGAAATTGATGACGGTATAATGTTTACAAAAAAGTGTTAACATGAACTGGAGTCACAGTCAGACTGTGTTCCATTCTGTCTAGCCATTAACACATCAGTCTGGCCAGGATTAAACAGTTCAAAGAGCTATCTGCAACAGGTAAGATATTCACTATTTATAACATTTACACAGAAACCCTACTTCAAAATGGCTGAACTGTCCATTTAAGGCTTGAAGCAGTTTCAGTCATTAGGACTTAAATGTCAGTAAATATTTTAAATGTTAGGTTAAATGAGCAACAAGTCCCGTTGCTGTGGTAACCTGCTTTACGTGCGTTGCAGCGAGTCTGTTTGTTTTATGTACAAATCTGTTTTTACTTGATCTTATAAGAGATTCTGTCCAGAAAAACATCAAAGTGTGTTTGTGTTTGCCCTCATAAAGATATAAATGTTAATATAAAAATGTTGTCACTCAGTAATTTAACGATTGAATCTTAAAAAATGCAAAACGATTTTAAATGTTTTTTTATTAGTTGGAAGTCGTGTAAAGTTTTTGTGCTCGATTAAAAACTCTTCCACCTACAGTTGTTCCTGTCGTGATTTCATTTTATTTCTGAAAGTTTGTTTCTGTGCTCAGAAATATTCTTAAAGACGAATAAGCATTTTTATCAATCGGTCTTCTTCTGAACACAGTGTTTTTAAATGTTCAGCTGAGTCATGAACAGGCAGCTAAAATGTTTTTTCAAAACATTTCAGTTTATTTAGAAACAAACATTTTTATCCTAAAACATCAAGATCTCCTTAAAGATTCACAAAGATTGTTTTAGTTAGTTCATTTTACTTTTTAGCTCAAATTTAGCTGATTTTATCTTTTTGCTACTGTCTCACTAACTTCAGCTTTTAGCTGTTGTTCAAGTCTTTTAGCTTTTAGCTGCTGTTCAGGTGTTTTTGCTTTGAGCTGTTGTTCAAGTCTTTTAGCTTTTAGCTGCTGTTCAGGTGTTTTTGCTTTGAGCTGTTGTTCAAGTCTTTTAGCTTTTAGCTGCTGTTCAAGTGTTTTAGCTTTTAGCTGCTATTCAGGTGTTTTTGCTTTTAGCTGTTGTTCAAGGCTTTTAGCTTTTAGCTGCTGTTCAGGTGTTTTTGCTTTTAGCTGCTGTTCAGGTGTTTTTGCTTTTAGCTGCTGTTCAGTTTAGCTTGCCCTGATTGTTTCTGATGGAAGATGTGAAAGGTCACAGATGTTTTTCACTTAATAATGTCAAATGTACATATGAGCCGTGTGTGTGTGTGTGTTTTGTCTGGACAGTGCTGCAGAAGCATGGAGCCTCTCAGCTCATAAACTCAAAGCCGAAGCTGGTAGGCAGCACCTCTGATAACATTATAAAGACACGTTTTTATGCTGTTTTTGAGCAAACTTGGAGATGAAGCGCCATGTGAACATTTTGCCTGTTTGTATTTCAACTGTTCCATCTTGCAAGATTAAACCTGGGGTTAGGAAAGTACTTCCTGTGTGGCTTATTTATTTAATCAGCGAAAGGGATAATGTTAAATTATTCTAACAGTTTCAGCTTCTCCAACAGATTTCAGCCTTTTGGCAGAAAAAAACTACTTTTTTATTTTTATATCCCTTAGCTAAAGTTTTGTCTTTACACCAGTTTTGAGCTTTTCAAGTTTTCATTTCAGCTCCCAGGACTTCAACAGCTGAAATGGTCTGAGTCTTTAATAATCTTCACACCAGTTTGTTTTGCAGAAATATTTTAATTCAAGAAGGAATCATAAAATCAAACTTCAGACATTTTACAGATGAAGGATCGACTCAGCGCCTCCTGCGGTGCGGGCCTTCGGCTGTTTTCTCAGGACATTCCTCTGGGCTGCAGCCGCACGATTCCACCTGAGTGAAGGTGTGCTGAATCTTGGACCCGTCCAAGCAGGTCAGAACCACCTGTTGCAGTGAGCTGGAGGCCTCCCGGCAGCACTCACAAGAGTACAGCATGGAGTTAGCAGCTGCAGAGTACCTGCAGAGAGCCAAACATCAGCTGAACCTTCGGCTTCTCAAGAAACCCGTCAGTCATTTTAGGCCTGCCTGAATGCTGAGTCAGCGTTTAGAGTATTGTCAGAGCTGCCTGATCTCTGAGTCAGCATTTGAGTTCAGAGATGAATGTTGAGTCAGTGTTTAGAGCATCGAGCTGAACGCTAAATCAGCATTGTAAGATGCTAATTATTTAGCTTTTTTTTTTAGCATCAAACATCTTGGTTAAATTGTGCTAAATAAGATGCTAATCTGCTTAATTTCAGACACTTGATAAATTTAGTGTTAGCATTTGATTTGCTAAGAACTAAAGTCAAGGCAAGTTATTTAATTTACCAGCTAATACTGGTTTTAGTTTTTGTTCTTTTTTATATAAAAAAAAATCTTCAACAAATTTCAACAGTCCTTTTTGTAAATGATGCTATGTTTTCTAAAAGCTAAAGGTGCTGACAAGCTTAAGGTGCTAACAAGCTTAAGGTGCTAACAAGCTAAAGGTGCTAACAAGCTAAGAGAATTAACAAGCTAAGGGAGTTAACAAGCTGCAGGTGCTAACCTGTTAAAGATGCTAACAAGCTGAAGGTGCTAACCAGCTAAGGGTGCTAACAAGCTAAAGGTGTTAACAAGCTAAAGGTGCTAACAAGCCAAAAGTGCAAGCTAAAGGCGCTAACAAGCTGAAGGTGCAAACAAGATAAGGGTGCTGTGTTGAGCAGCCTGGAGAAGCAGCTAGTTTGTAGAAGCTGCAGTAGTTTTATTTATTTATTTAAAAAATAAGAAATAATAAAAATCAACATCTGTAGCTTCTAGAAACTAGCTGCTTCTCCCGCTTCAGGGTTAGATTTACACTTTAGATGAATTTCTTATGTTTTGTTGATAGAATACTTACATGGCTGAACTTCTGCAGTGTCCGACACACGAGGAGATGTTGAGCAGCTCCGAGCTGATGCAGCCGTTCACCTCTATCTTTGTTGGCTGACTCTGGACCTGACACACACTCTTTACATCACCTGGAACACAGGAGCACAGGTGTTGGTCCAACATGTAGTCTGAGGGGAACCTTCATCAGGGAACAGGATGAACTTACAGGACATGCAGCATCCTGCAGCATCTGTCACCTCAGTGCCCTGCAGGAGAAACACAGCTCTGTTAAAATAGCCACACAGAAACCTGAGAGGCAGCCATTTTAACTGCCTTAGTCAGGAATGGAAACCACATTATCTGCCCTCCAACACTTAGTATGACACTTATGGAAACAAATGTAAAGTCAGAACTGTGAGGGAGCACAACAGGCTCCAGATCAGTTCGTCCCTCCTTCTAAAACCACTTGGTCACTTTGTACCCGCCTCAGCAGCTGCAGCGACGATTCAATCTATCAGAGGCCGGAGCACAATTGGGAAAAAAAAGATAATAAAAAAAAAGACCAATTTAAATATTGAAGAAGCATTTTCCTTCATGAATGTTGAACTAGAAGAACTGGAGGTTACAGCCAGATGGGGTCCAGTCTAACCCTGACCACCAAGGCTGTGTTGGTACCGTAACAAGACAAAACTTCAGCTTTTAGAGCAGAACGGTTCCAACACACACAGAGGAATTTGTTTTGTCCCAAGTCCTGGGGAAGGCTGATGTTCTGAGCTGGATGTTTGGGACTGTAGACCAGGATCTCCGTTCAACACACCTGGCCTGTGGACAGTCTGAAACCTGGGACAGGTAGTTTCGGCACTGGGACTGACCCGTTACGTGGTCTGACAGCCCAGGCTGGTCCTCTGAAGCAGGGGTGCCCACATTTTTTCAGCGTGCGAACTACTTTTAGAATGACCAAGTCAAAGTGATCTACAGTGCCTACTATAAGGCCCTGTTTACACGAGAACAACCTCTGGAAACGTTAGCATTTTTTCTGTTTATTGGGGGAGATAAACAAAAAATGAGCGGGTTTACATGAAAACAGCCTGTAGTTTCCATTTCAGTCAGGTTGCCACATAAGAAATTATGAACTATAGTACTGTTACTTTAAAATGATAGTACTTTAACCTAAACTGTCATATGTGCTGAGTAAAGCTATTCTAAGATGAGGTGTGTGTTGTGTTTGTTGAACATGTGCACAGAAAAGGAGAGGGTAAATAAGATGTTTTAAATTTATCTGGCAACCCTCATCGCACATACAGTGTCTGCATGATGCAGCTCAGGGACTCATGGATCCGGTCAGAGCGCGGGGACAAAGTGAAACCGGGGTTGCACCTTGATTCTGTGCTGTCACGGGTTTCTACTTGACTCACTTTCTGTTGGATATCTGAAGTTTGAGTTTTAGTCAAAGAGTGGTTCTGGTCCATCAGGACCGAGTTGGTCTTGGTTCTTGTTTAGTAAACTCACGGGTTCACAGTCCAGGGGGTTAAAGGGCGGGCAGGTGGTCTTGGTTTCCCTCATCACAAACTGTCCGTTGACCTTCTGACAGGTGTACTGGACACACCTGTCCTCAGGTGGGACATACGTGGCGTTGACCTGTTCCAGAACAAAAAGATCGCCCTTCAGTTTGAACCAGAACCAGGTCTGAGTGAATCCGATGAAACATTTATAAAAAGAGCTGCAGATGAAACAGAACCGACCTGCATGATCTGGACCGTCTGGTTATCCGAGACGAGCAAACAGCTGTTCTGAACACATCCGCCACAACATCTGTCTTCACTCAGCTGATACTCAAAACCCTGCAGAGACAAAGAAAACCCGATGTCAGTTCTGCTCTGTTGGACTGAAACCTTCAGGTTCTAAAGGACTTTTCTACACAACAGATCAACAAAATCTGTTTCTCAGACCGGACCCCAGAGGTCCTCCAGGGGATGGGTCCAGTCTCTGTTACCATGGTGATTAGAACCTGAACGCTTTCAGCTGGTTCTTTAGTCTGGTTCTGTGACCCAAGCTTCTGGTGAGTCCCAGCAGATTTTAGTTTGTCATTACCTCAGAGCAGCTGGTGTTGCAGACGGTCGGTGTGCAGCTGATGGTGTTCAGCTTGGTGTTAGGGTCCACTTTGGGTCCACAGTAGCAGTCCTGGCAGGGTCCAGGTTCAGACGGGTCCAATAACAAGGTTGTGACGGTCCCTTGGCTCGTTTCTGACAACACTTCTGGAGTTGGGATCTTGGCTCCGGGCTGGAAAACAATAAAAGTTGTTGTAGTGGTTTCAGTGTCACAGAGCTTCCCGTCAGTGAATCATCTGATCTTTACAGGCGAGGGGGAGGGGCTTATTTACCTGAAACTCAGTCATGTCGTAAACACAAACACCTTTAGGAACTGCAGAGACCACAACGCAGAGAAACAACAGTCAGAACCAGTTTGACCCAAACCCCCAATTTTTTTTAAATAAACCCTGAATAAAAAAAACATGTTCAGAAGTTTGAATTAAATCAGAAGCAAAAATAAAATATAGATTTGTTTTAATATCAGAGGTTTTCTTCCCTTAAACTCAAATATTTATCTGAAATATTTTATATTTGTCAGTAATAGCTGTCTGTATCTGTGGTGTGAGCTGTCCATGTCCAAAGAGGACAAGGACAGGTGGACAGGGTCTCGTACCACAGCTGTAGGACTGGCAGCAGGTCCCGTTGGCGGTGCTGAGCTGGAACCCCAGAGGACAGGAGCCAGGAGGCGAGCACAGGCTGACGTCACATTCTGTCAGAGAGACATCCAGTTTAAACGCACTGAAAACAGGACAGTGGACATGTTTCTGTCCTCGGTCCAGTGATCGCATCGTGTCAGTGAGCCGGATCAGTTCCTGCAGGATGATGGTCCAAAGTTCAGGAACCGGAACCAAATCTCAGCACATTTCTTCTGCTGTGGATAAAATCTGATGTTGGAGTCAAAGACCTCCTGATCCAGAGTCGTTTTACTACTGAAATGATCCAAATATTCATGTTTATAGACCTTCTGAGACGCTCAGACCATCTGCATCATTACACCTGACTCTGTTTCACTTTGACCTGCTCGTTCATCTAATTGTAAATAAATATTTACTCACTGTTTGTTCAAAACAAATTGTTTTTAACTTAAAGAGTTCGGAAAAGCCCAGACAGACAGAAGAAACTAAACATGGGCACCAAAAGCAAAGCTCAAGACTCGGAGGAGACTCTCTGCTTGGGGGGGCCATGGAGGGCCAGAGCCTTTCTCCAGGGGGGCTCACCCCCCCCCCCCCCCCCCCAACCCCGGCCCCTCTTAGAGGTGGCTCTGGTTTAGTGGGTAGATACTGACAAAGTTCTTCAAAAAATGAAAATATATATAAATAAACTGCAAATTTATTCACAATTTACAAAAAAAGGAAAGTATTTGGTTAAACTCAAGTACTGATAAGATAAATTTTTATTTTAATGTTACGCCTCGTTTTAAAAAGAAAATAATATTTCTGCATGTTTACACATTTAACCCTTTAGTTTCTGACAGAGGTCCAAACATGGTTCTGACACTCAGAAACAGAACTTTAATTTTATTTAGTGAATCGAATCTGACTCATGTTGAATGTAAAGATGAAAATATGATGACGGAGGTTTACATCTTGTTTTGTTTACAGCTTGTTTTGTTTACAGTTTCTTTTGTTTACTCGTTGTTTTGTTTACTGTTTGTCCTCAGACTCACCGCAGGACTGTGTTGGGCAGCAGCCATCTGTTTTGTTGACCAGCTGCTGACCCGGCTCGCTGCAGTCCGGGCTCGGTTCTGCCGGGCACGGTACCGGCTGGCAGTGGACACTCATAGAATCCAGGTCACACACACAGGTGTTGCAGCCGCTCGTCCAGATTTCACCTGGCTGTCAAACAGGAACAAACCAGGTCAGAACCACAGGTCGGTACCTGAGTTTGTAACTGGTTCTTTAGTTTTTCACCTGCTTGGGTTTTCCGTCTGGACCGACACAACCTGAAACCCAAACACAGACTGGTTTATAGCTGATAAATGATGAGACAAACTGTGCAACTTAAACAAATTACAATATAAAATCTGTAAAGAAATCGTAATAAATAAATAAGGAAGTAAATAAATAAATGAATGAATAAACAAATAAATAAACCAGACCAATTGAGCTGAACAACGTTGCTCAGAAATGAAGAACTTGTTTGGTTTCAAAACAGCCTGAAAGCTTCAAAAACATTTTAGGACATAATCTGGTCATTTTGAGTCTGATGGCAGCAACAAGTCCGGATCAGAACCAGGAGGAACATTTAGGAACTAATGAGGTTAACGATCAGCGGGTCCGTCAGAGGACTGGAGATAAACAGACTGTTAGAAGTAAAGACGGGCACAGGTTCAGCAGTTTGAGACAAATGTTTTACATAAAAATACATTTAATGTCTCCAACAATTTTCAGTCAGGTCATCGGGACAGTTTCTTTTTTTGTGCTGAAATGTTTCACCTTCCATCCAGAAGGCTTCATCAGTCAAGGAAACACACACAAAAAAAACTGGTTCGTCCCCCAACAGCTTACTCCAAAGTTGGTGCTAAGATTGTTTCTTTGGCACACCCCCTCCTCCTGTGCCGGCCGTCTCCCTTGTCGACAATCATGTCAAACTGGTTTAAAACCAACAAAGTCCATGCTCAATAATCCAGGTATACAATCCAACAATTTTCAGTCAGGTCATCTGGACAGAAAAGAAAGATAGATGACATGACTGAAAATTGTTGGATTGTATACCTGGATTATTGAGCATGGACTTTGTTGGTTTTGAAACATTTAATGTCTGTTTTTATTTATTATTTGTTTAGTCTCTGAGTCAACAAAAACAATACATTGATTATTGTTTTTTAAAATACAAAAACATCAGAGCTGAGCTCAGACCTGACCCAGTGGACCTGCTGGTTCTTACCACAGGAAGAGACACAGGTGTCGTAGACCGGGTTGAACAAGGTGGATCCTGGAGGACAGAAACAGCCTTCCTTTGTGTCGTTGGATGATGCGTTCAGGTCTGTCTGGAACTTGTTGTTGTACCTGTCAGAGACAAGAGTCCATGAGGAACATGGGTGATAATGTACTCACCTGTCTGTCTGTTAGAAAATAGAACCAGTAAATACGTTTGGATGACAGCCTCAGAAAGAACTGAACGCTTGAACGGCTGCCGCAGCAGGCAGGAACATGGCTCCACCTCAGTCAGGGTTACAGATGTGGAGCTTGGGTTAGGTGTGGTAGTATCTGAGAGTCCTTACAAAACAAACTCTGAGCTCGGACAGGAGGAGCATCACTTTCTTTTCTTCAGGTTTCACTGAAACATCTAGAACTCCTCAGGAAATGATCGCAGTTTATTTTTATTTGATTTGATCTGTTTTCACATTTTCTTACTTGTTTTCTTTTTTTTTTATGGTCTGATGGACTTTGTTGTTACGTCCTTATCATTTTGTGTTGGGGTGACTCTGAGCTACTACCACTCCTAACCCTAACTCTTCCACAAGAACAAGGAGCAGGGACTCCAGCTCCTTGTTCTTTACGTTCTGCCTCAGAGGTTACAAGCCTTCATGTCACCTCTAAATGTTCCTCAGGACCCCTGAGGTTCCACGTGTTCCTGTCAACTCTAAGTGTTCCTCAGGACCCTTGAGACTCCAGATGTTCCTGTCACCTCTAAACGTTCCTCAGGACCTCTAAGGTTCTGCGCGTTCATGTCACTTCTAAACGTTTCTCAAGACCCCTGAGGTTCCAGGTGTTCATGTCACCTCTAAACGTTCCTCAAGACCCCTGAGGTTCCAGGTGTTCATGTCACCTCTAAAGGTTCCTCAAGACCCCTGAGGTTCCAGGTGTTCATGTCACCTCTAAGTGTTCCTCAGGACCCCTGAGGTTCCAGGTGTTTCTGTCACCTCTAAATGTTCCGCAAGACCCCTGAGACTCCAGGTGTTCCTGTCACCTCTAAACGTTCCTCAAGACCCCTGAGACTCCAGGTGTTTCAGTCACCTCTAAACGTTCCTCAGGACCTCTAAGGTTCTGCGCATTCATGTCACTTCTAAACGTTTCTCAAGACCCCTGAGTTTCCAGGTGTTCATGTCACCTCTAAACGTTCCTCAAGACCCCTGAGGTTCCAGGTGTTCCTGTCACCTCTAAGTGTTCCTCAGGACCCCTGAAACTCCAGGTGTTCCTGTCACCTCTGAACGTTCCTCAGGAGCCCTGAGGTTCCAGGTGTTCCTGTCACCTCTAAACGTTCCTCAAGAC